ATTTTGGACTTCCCAGGCTCAAGAACTATGAGCAATAAAGATCTGTTGTTTATAAACTACCCAGTTTAGCGTATTTTGTTATAACAGTCTGAACAGACTAAGACAGAAATTGATATTATGAAGTAGGTGTTGCTATAACAAATACCTAAAAATGTGTAAGTGGCTTTGGAACTGGGTAATGGGTAGAGGTTGAAAGAGTTTTGAAGTCCATTGCTATGGGTAGACTATAAAAAGTCATTCAGGAGAGGGACCAGAAATAAATGAGAACTGTAGAGAAATCTTCAATCTTCTTAGGGATTATTTAAGTGGTTATGGTCAGAATGTTGGTAGAAATAGGGACAGTAAATGCCATTCTGATGAGGCCTCAGATGGAAATGAGGAACGTGCTATTGGAAACTGGAGGAAAGGAGATACTTGTTATAAAGTATCAAGAAACTTGGCTGGATTGTGTTTGTGTCCTGGTTGCTTTGTGAAAGGTAGCGCTCCTGAGCAATGAAATAAGATATTTGGCAGTAGAAATTTCTAAGCAAAGTGTTGAGGATATGGCATGACTTCTTTTGACTGCTTATAATAAAATGTAAGAGAGAAATGAGTGAAAGACAGAATTTATAATCAAAAAGGAAGCAGATCTTAAAGATTTGGAAAATTCTCAACCAGGTCATGTTGTAAAGAATGAAAAAAAATGTGTTAAGGAAAGAACACCAAAGGCATAGCCAAGCAAATGTTTGATAAGGAGATTAGTATGAATAAAAGGAAGCCAGATGCTATTCATCAAGACAATGAAAGAATGATCCTGAAGGCACTGCAGAGATCTTTGAGGCTGCCCTGCCCATCACAGGCCAGAATGCCTGGGCCTTGTGGTCAGAATGATTTCAAGGCTCTGCTCCCTGCATTCTGTTGCAGTGCTCCTCATTCACCCCAGCTGTGGCTCAAGCAGGCCCAGGTGCAGTTCAGGCTGCCTCTTTAGGAGGCACAAGTCATAAACCATGGTGGCATCTACATAGTACCATCTCCACAGGTGCACAGGGTGTACAAACTATGGAGGGCATGGCTACTTCCACCTAGATTCCAAATGATACACAGAGAACCTCAGGGCCCAAGCAGAGAACTGTCACAGTGATGGGGTTCCTGCAGAGAGTCCTCACTAGGGCATTGCCCAGTGGAGATATGGGAGTGGGGCTGCCCCCGAGACCCCAGAATGGTAAATCCACTGGCATGCAACTCCAGCCTAGAAAAGCCACAGTCATAGGCTGTGGTGTGGACTGTGTTCAGTAAAACCATAGGGACAAGGCTGCCCAGACCCTTGGAATCTCAACCCCTAGCCCAGTGTTTCAGAAGGTAGGACATTAAGTCACAGACAACTATTCTGGAGCCTTAAGATTTAATGTTTGTCCTGTTGGGTTTTGGATTTCATTGGGACCTGTTATCCCTTTCTTTTTTCCTACTTCTCCCTTTTGGAACGGAAACACCTGTCCTGTGCCTGTCCCATAATTGTATACTGGAAACATATAACTGGTTTGATTTTACAGGATCACAGCTGTAGGGGAATTTGCATCAAGATGAATCAAACCTATGGCTGTCACCCATATCTGATTTAGATGAAACTCTGGAATTATATTTTTGAGTTGGTACTGGCACCAATAAGAATTTTCAGGCTATTGGGATGAAATGAGTTTATTTCGCATGTGAGAAGGACATGAATTTTGGGAGGCTAGAAGCAGAATGCTATGACTTGAATGATGGTGTCCCCCCCAAAAAGTGTATGTTGGAGCTTGACACCCAATGTGATAGTATTAAGAGGTGAGGCCTTTGGGAGATCATTAAGACCTTTGGGCTCTGCCCTCGTAATGGGATTAATGCATTCATAAAAGAGACTTCAGAGAGCCTGTTTGACCCTTCTACCATGTGAGGGCACATAGATCTGCCATGTGAGGGCACAAAGACGGTGCCATCTATTACCAACAGGCCCTCGTTAGACACCAAATCTACTGGCACCTTCATTTTGGACTTGCCAGCCTCAAGAACCCTGAGCAATAAGTTTCTGTCATTTACAAATTACCCAGCCTAAGATATTTTGTTATAGCAGCCTGAACTGATTGAGACAGTATCACATTTTACTGGTAAAGAAACTGAGGCACAAAAACCCTTAACAGATAAACAGATGGTAGGAAGAAGAGCTGTGACATTAACCCAAACAGCATGCCTTGAACCTTATTACTTAATCACTGTCCATAGTGCATAGTAGATAAAAAGTAATAGATTATTTTTCCAGATAGGCTATAGGTGGGAGATGAAGTATGGATGGAACAAGAGTGATCTGTGACCACAGATTGTGGATACATAGGTGAACTGAGAAATAGGACCTGTGTGGTGTCCTGGCATTGAGAGGGTCCAGCCATGTGTCCATCTGCAGATGCTAGTCAGAGAGACAAGCCTCATCAACAGGTAGGGAATGAGTTAGGTGTTCCTGGGAATAGGATTCCCATCAACAGCCATGGTCTTCATTCTCTTCCCTCCCCATGATACTTAAGTTCCCAGATTCATCGCTTCAGTGATTGCGGCACAAAGCTCGCAACAACTCTCCTGCCCCTCCAGATCTTTGTATAAAAAATTTTACCCCAAACCCCAACTTGGGAAAAACTCATTTATAAACATTCCCTGAGCTTGTAAAGGAACAGCCAGACTCTAGTGGATAAGGTATCCATCAAAGCCAATGGTTGTGTTCTTTTTTAAATTGACAAATAATTGTATATATTTATGAGGTACAGTGTGCTGTTTCGACATATGTATACATTGTGGAATAATGAAATCAAGCTAACTAAAATATCCATCACCTCACATACTTATTTTTTGTGCAACAGATCTAAAAATTTAATTCCTCCTGTCTAAGTAAAATTGTGTGCCCTTTGACCAACATCTCCCCATTTCTCCCCGATCCTGCCTCTAGTTAGTTCTAAATTGTGGTTTAGGAAGCTAAGATGCTGGAGACAGACAGGTTGATTCTTACAGCTATGTTTTTAGCACTACACAATAATCCAGTGTCTGTCTTTGGTGTCTGAGCTTCCTAAACCATAGTTTGGAACTAATTTTAGTCAATTTGATTTTGCTGTTTCTTTGGACTTCTACCTGGAGGACTATGAGCTCATCTTTCCCAGCTACTATTGACTATGATATTCCAGAGTAGGTAGGGTAACATCATAAACTATTATATATTCACACAATGGAGCTTCACCCTTCCCTCTCAAAATACTCTTTCCTATAGGTAGGATAGTACTATCATTAGAGTGGCCTTCTCAGGGATGATGTCCACATTGATTCTGCAGTCCAATTAACATGACATAGAGACTATGTGTTCCACCTTCCACGGTTGAGGGTCGATGAGTTCAACATTCAAGCTAGTTGACCCTAGGTCAGCTGGACTTCCCTGTTTGTACTGACTTACAAATCGAAAGCAGCTACAAAAATCACTTAGCAGATGGTCTCTTGAAAAGGAGCAGAGTCCAATCCCACCTTGAGAAGTCATGAAGCTGGTGATCTTTGCAAATGAAATCTGAAGCCCCATTATCTTTCATCTTACAACAACAGAAGAAATCACTCCTCTTGGGGGTAGCGGGGGGACATGAAATCAGGGATAACATTAGAAAAGTGGCTTATGCATGGACCTTGACAGGTGGGGCAAGATTTTCGCAGACAGAAAGGGAGGACAATACATGAAATCCAAAAAAGGGTGATGGGACCGGGTGCAGTGGCTCACGCCTGTAATCCCAACACTTTGGGAGGCTGAGGCGGGCAGATCACCTGAGGTCACGAGTTCGAGACCAGCCTGGCCAACATGGCGAAATCCCATCTCTACTGAAAATACAAAAATTAGCCGGATGTGGTGGCAGGTGCCCATAATCCCACCTACTCGGGAGGCTGAGGCAGAGAGAATTGCTTGAACCCGGGAGGTGGGGTTGCAGTGAGCCGAGATTGCGCCACTGCACTCCAGCCTGGGTGACAGAGTGAGACTCCATCACACACACACACACACACACACACACACACACACACACACACAAAGAGAGAGAGAGAGAAAGAAAAGAAAAAAAAGAAAAAGAAAAAACGGGTGATGGAGGCATGTTTGAATTCAGTGCTGGAACCAATCCTGGGAGGTTGCTGAGTTCCCTTATTGTTGGCTTTCCTGGACTTCCCACAGTTTCTGCAACCTCAACTGGCTTCCCAAAATCCCAAGGGCAAACCTTGAATCCATCACACTGTGCCCAGCCCACAGGTATCTGATCCCAGAGCTCACATCATTCTCTTGCATTCCAGCTCTGATGTCTCTTCATGTGCCCTCCTAATAGTAAAGAACAACTCCCATCTTCCTGTAAAGGTGAGAGGAGTGAAGCATGGAAGGCTTCCTGGAGGAGAGTGCAATTTTGCTTGGCCTGGATAAACTGGGGGAGCCAAATTTCCAAAATCAGAAATAACAAGAAACAGAGACTATGGTATGTGCAAAGACCTGAGTGGTACATCTGGACATTGGGGGATGGTCAGTTATAATAAGCAAGAATAATTATTGCTTATTACTTAGGCGGGCCTTAAGGCTTGGGTGGAGTTTCCACTTGTAGACCTGGAGACAGTGGACAGTTTTCCTGTCAATCACTTTACATCCTCCAGTGATACTGTTTAAAGGCAGCGTCATAGAGTAGGTGTCAAAGAAGCCCTACCACGTGACCCGGCTCATTAAAATCTGGATTGTGGGTCGGATGCAGTGGTACACGCCTGTAATCCCAGCTACTCAGGAGGCTAAGGCAGGAGAATCGCTTGAATCCAGGAGGAGGAGGTTGCAGTGAGCTGAGATAGCGCCACTGCACTCCAGCCTGGGCGACAGAGCGAGACTCCGTCTCAAAAAAATAAAATAAATCTGGATTGTGCAGTGCGGCTTCCGTTGACAGCTGCCCGCGGGGATACGGGGGGGGGGGGGCGGGAAATAAAATAAACTGGATTGTGCAGTGCGGCTTCCGTTGACAGTTGCCCGCGGGAATATGGGAACATGGCGGCTTCTCCTCCGGCAATCACGGAAGTGTAAGTTTAAAGGATTTTCATTCTTGGTTGTTGGTTTGTGTTGTGGTTTTGATGGAATCGGGTATATGGTGTCTTCTACCGTCTTTAACAGATGTGACCCACGGGCTTATGGGTTGATGACGGGGAAGCTTCTTAGCCTCATCGGGAGCAGTGTTGTGCTTTGTGTAACGACGTGATGAGTCCTTCAGATCATTTCGTTTGTTGAAATGTTGTTCTTGGACCCCCACTATTCGTGATCTGAAGGTTTCGAAGTGTTTTCAACTTAAAAATGAGGAAACGGCTGATTCAGTTGACTGAGCTAGTGTCTGTCCGGGACGCCACACGGTGGCTGTCGGCCGCCAGGGACCTGATCTTGTCTTTATTTCGCAGAGTTATTGGGTGGATATTCTCTCCAATTATTTGTTTACACTTTGTACTTTGCCCTCATTTGTCCATTTTGTTACCCATATTTATATTATTTTAGAGCTGAAAAGGAGGAAAGTAATGCCCAGAGGAATCCAGTGTGGGATTATGACGAGCAATGGCAGCTGCATTTGCTGCCAGTTTTGTGTGTCATTTAACGTGTTGTGTGTCATTTAACATGATTATATGTTTAATATGATTTGTTTGGTTAAAGTTCAGTATTGGTCTTCTTCATATGTTGTCTTAAAAAGAAAATTTTTTTCTAATAATTTCAAAGTGAAATTAAGGAAATGGACGTTCAGCTTGTTCACTAATCAGTGGGAATACCCTGACAGTCACCATTGAACTCTGTTTTCCATTTTTATATAATGTATTTGTATATTTAATGTAACTGCATTCAACCAAAAGTCCTCCCTAAAAAATTCACTGTTATTTACACTTTACAGATATGGAAAATAATGGTCTGGTTGGCAAGAGCTTGTAGCTTTAAAATTCTGAAGGGAATGAAATGCCCAAGCATCCTATTTCTTGTTTTATTTTACAATATAATGGCATAGGATTTTTTTCATAACATTGCAGTCATTTGAATTTATTTAATTATGATTTGGACTTTTTCAATAAATACTCTTCAAATGAAAATATTTTCAGTGTTCATATTCTGAAATGAGTCCGTCTGGCTGGGCACTTCATGTTTTGCAATCACCATGGATGCTCATTAGCCGCTTTTTTCCAGCCAAGATTAGGCCCAGTTTGGCATTCAATTTTATGTGTTCATCCTTATTGCATTCAATTAAATTTTGGTCCCAGGGCTTCTCATAAGTGCCTTTGAAAGGTTTTGTGTTTACAGACAGGAAACTAATGTCCGACAAGTGCCTTTTATTTTATAACTTCTTGTTTGATACACATATTTTTAAATATTACTGTGGTTGTCTCTCCATAAATGCACTTTAAAGCAAACGTTTTGGGGATAGTGTTGATTTGTAAAACCAGAACTTAATCATTTGACTGAGTCAATATTTTACAACAGTGAATGCTCTTAACCATCTGTTGTTGGCTGCAGTTAAACAGTGTGGGGTTTTATTTTACAGAAGAATTAGGCATTTGGTATCATTTTATTCAATTAAATGTGATCCTGGTCCATTTCATAAGCTTGGGTAAAAAAGTTTTTGTTATTTTCCATGCACAATAAGAGAAATGTTTTAATTGGCTTTGTGCCTCCTGTTTTACAACAGTTCTGGCCCCAAGTTACCAGGTAGCCTGAACTTTGATTTTATTTTACCATTAAATTGCTTTAATACCATTGTATTTGGTGAAGTTTTAGTCTTTGTGTATCTTATTTGATAGATATACCAAAAATGAAGGAAGTTTTGTGGTATATTCAATGTAAAACCACATACATTGACCCAGCACTTGTTTTATGACAGTGAATGCCCGAAGTGCTGTCACCGATCACGATTGAACATTGTTCGTAATCTTATATTGCAAGTAAATTGTGTGTCAAATATCACGTTATTCAGTCCAATTCTGTTCCTAGTATTTTGCATAAGTTTCCCTTGAAATTTATAGGGAATATTCAATTTATAAATGAGTAAATTCATGTTCAGATTGAGTGCGTTCAGTTTTCTGGAATGAATGACATTTGCAGGTCACGTTGCACAGTTTTATTTTAAAACCATAATTGTGTATTTAATACACTGTTTTTCTTTAAATTTAGCTTTGGGCCTCATTTCCAGGTGTTCTTCCATAGAAAAAAATGATGTGTGTAGTTTTTATATGCAAACAAGTTAAAGAAGAGTGATGTAGAGCCAGGCTGGTCAAGACAAGAATTGACTAGAATAGACTGCTCTTCCCCCATTCCATCATGTGCTGTCCCCACCCCTTCAGCCATCCGGGCTGACTGTGTCTTAATACCTCAAGTGCAAGTATATAGGAGTAAGAAATGAACAATGAATGCCTGCCTCCTTATACTCATGCCTACATTGTATGATATCTAGTATGTAAGAGAAAAATTAAAGGAAAACCTTTGTTTTGCTCTAAAACCTGAGGATGGTAAACACTGAGAGTAACCTGGTACTTGGTTTGAAGTAAAACACAAATATTTCCCTTTTATAACAGTGATGGTTGTGTTTGCTTATTAACCTTTTTGCTGGTTAATTCTTGATACTGACTAGAAATGTGTATATTGCTTCTTGAAATGATTTAATGACTTCTATATTGGTGAACATGGACGTTCTCTAAGTATAATCCACCTATATTATATTTACAAATCAGTAAGATTGATTGTTGGTATTTGGATTTTGTGTTATCTGTGTATTTGTTACCGGCAGGAATGCAAATTTGAGAAATTAGGATGCTAACTAGCCTCATTAATCTTGGCTTTTCAGGCAGAGCCCTGGACCTTGAACAATATCTCCTTGTGGAATGAAGGAACTTTTATTACATACCCATTGCCCATAGTATCCTAGGGGTATACTTGCCAAATAAGAGCAAATCTCCCAAATTTACATTATATTAGCAACTGTCCAATTTTTGCTATTGTTTTCTCCTAAAAAACAAACAAACAAACAAAGCTATGTTCAGTGTCAGATGATAATAACGTTATTTAGCATAAGGAATTCTTTATGAAACTGTTCTAAATGATGTTAAATTCATTTTAGTTTAAGAAATTTTCTAACTTATGTTACTGATTACTGACAGTAACACACCAAAAGTACAGTTCTATTATGTGCATTTCATGGTCTTCGGTGCCAGTATTCATTAACATACTGAATACTGACCTGAAGCCCATTTGGAAATGTATTATGCATAATATTGCACGTTATATGAGTGTCACTAATCAGTAACAAAGTGAGGAGAACACAAAGATTTGGTTCCCATAGTTTTGCATAAATCAATTGCCTTGTCACTGAAGAATAACAACATAAAAGGACTCCTCTGAAACTCCCCTTCTAGCAAAAAAAAAAAAAAAAAAAAGGTGGTATTGCGTCTTGGCATAATATTTTATAATTTCCCTGTGATGTTTATTTAAAGCAAGAAGACCTATGGTATCCTTTGGCAGGGGCAATCAGGCCTCTGAAAAGCAGTGTTAATTGTCCTTATGGTATACTTCATGCAGTCTCAGTCTTACACCGAGGCTCAGTGTAAGTTACCTGTCACTCATTCAGCCTACCTGGCACAGGATACATGATTGAGTACTCAGTCCCCACCAGGTATTTTCAGAAGGACTTCTACATAAGGCAATGAGGATGAGTAGCCCAGCCACCTACCATATGAATTTCCAAGTACATACTTACAGTGGTGCTGGGTTGTCCACCCACAGGCAAGTCTCCTTGTATATTTAAACAGCCACTATCTCCTTCAGGACCTCTGGTGGGAAAGTCCAGGACTGGTCAGCCTCTGAGCCTGTAACATGGAGAGAGTGGAATCAGAACGAACTGTCCGGAACAACCAGACAAGTAAGGGCAACCTTATCTTGTATGAAGTGATAGGTGTTGGGTGGAGGGCACCGCCTGTCTCCTGTCAGGTGTACCATCATTTATGATGGTGTTGAAACTGGTTTCCAGAATCTCTGAGCTAGTAACTACCAAGAATGTTAGGGTCAGTCCATGGACACTGATTATTAACTCCATGGTAGAGACCCTGCTAGGCAGTGACGTCTCTTTTTAGTCATCATTTGTATTTCTGTGTTCACTGTGGGTGCTGCTTACAGACAAATTGATTTATTTTAATTACTCTGATTTAAAAAAAAACCTGATCTTGATATTGTGCCATCAAAGTTTTGATCTTTTGATCCTCTTTGGAAACTCTTGCAGTAACAGTCAGCAGCAAGATGAACTGGGCAGTCAAAAATAAACTCCAGGAATGAAGAGATTGTGGGAGTGCTGCTCAAGTGCCTTATGTCTGGTGTAAAAACATGGATCTGAAGGTAATTTAAGGCCATGTCTATCTGTAAAACAGGAGAGAGATAGGACTCGTGGACCAAGTGGGTGGTGGAGAATGGTACTCTGCCAGTATACCTGCACCATGAAGGGGAGGGCATTTATTTGTCAGGAGTCCAGGAAGACATAGGCTAACAATGAAAGTAATGCATACATTGATGCACCTTCAAATCTTCACCCAGTCAGGCACTGTTGGCCAGTTCTTTGCTTTGCAGACATTGCTGGGACCACATATCATGTCTCATTCCCAGTTTGTAGTATCTGAGTCTGAAAGTCCCATGGCCCTTTCTCACTATCATCTTTGAGCCTCAGTTTCCTCATATGCACAATGAAATTCATACCATGGTTTCAGGGATGTTGTGGGAATCCAGTGTGATCATCCTTGTTAAGGGTCTAGCACACAAGAGATGGTTAAGGAATTAGTTTCTTACTTCCTAAATCCATATATTGGAGAACATGAGGGTGCTTGGTTTCACTTCCTTCCTATCACTGCTTCCCCACCCCTGTTCAATCTGTTTGACTTTGCCATAATGCCATTTAAATGTTTGTTTGCCTTCCCAGGGCCAGCAAGCTTCCTCAGGGATTACTGAGGCATCTCCTTGGAAATCACACCTCATTAATCCTGCTGTGAAGTAAGAGGCAGCCAGGACCCCAAGCTTTTCCTTTTTCTGAGCCACATTCTGTTCTGGTCAGCTCGGACACCTTACATGGAGGCTGACAGGGCTCATCACCCAGCACCCATCAGGACTCACTACCATCTGTAAACTGAGCAGCCTGGAGGGAGCCTGTTGACTAGCAGTGCCAGAGAGGTCTCTTCTCTTTCTTTGCCTATGTAAAGTAATTTCTTTTAGCTATGGTGATTAATTTATTGAAATTCAGGTGAAGACATTTGACAATTTGACAGACGGAAGAAAAGTGCTAGATGGAAATATGCACTATTCTCAAATGTTCTCAAAGAGACTTTTAACCTTTAGTCCCAGTAGATACTTCTGGTTTGGTTTCTCTAGTTTTCTTTTGACACGAGTTTCACTCAGAAGGTGGCATCAGAGAACCTGAAGTCACTCACCCTAGGTCAAATTCCACACTTCCTTTTGAATAGGCACTAAAATGTCTAGCCTTTATCCAACACAGTGACATTCACACTCTTCTGATTTATCCCTGTATTTCGTTAAGTTACTTTAAATCCTTGGATGATGAGGGTCATTGTTATTTGCCACCCAATGAAAAATTGAGACCTGAGATATACATAGAGAAGCTTTACCCCAAACCTATGTTTCTTAACCAAATAATGTGATAGTGACCTAGAGTGGCTTATTTCCTAGTCAAAAGTAGGTGTGAAACAAGGTAACTGTGACTCCTCTCTGTTACACACAAGTGTGTTGTGCCCTCTGCCCCTGCAATGGCACAGTTATCTTGAGTCACTTCACTGTTGTGAAAGAGACTGTGGGGAAAACCTAAATGAATGGTTTAGTTGGTAATTCTACTGACTATTGGCATTTTAAAATTTGGGGTTTTTAAACATTTTTTGTAGAAATGGGGTCTTGCTGTATTTCCCAGTCTGGCTCCAAACTCCTGGGCTCAAACAGTCCTCCTTCCTCAGCCTCCCAAAATGCTGGGATTACAGGCATCAGCCATCATGCCTGGCTCTATTGGCATTTTAGAAGCATTCACAAAGTGGGGGGGATCCAAAAGGGTGTCTCTCTGGTGACTGTTTCAGGGATCAGGATGCTGGATGGAAAAGAAAGTGGACCTTCTCTGAATTTAAAGTGGGACCTTGCTCCTTAGATCTTTCCCAGGAGTTCGTTCCTAGGCCAGCACAGACAGTCTCATCAGGCACGTAGTTAATGAATGACTCTTCACTAGTGGGAACGTTAATGTGCTGTTAAATTTTGGTGTGAAGTGTTCCACGTCAAACTCGCATTTGCCTTAACATGTTTTTTCACGCCTCTTATTTCCACGCCTCTTATATCATGGAAAGGGAATGCATGATAATGGACACTTTAAGGCAAGGCTTTTGACTGAAAGTCTATGGATTATATATGTAGGAGACAATTCATTTCGCTAGTATTCACTCAAACAGAAAAACAAATATGAAGACTGATATTTTAATCTTTTTTAAAAATGACATTTTGGGTTACAGATGTAATATCTGCTTATGTACAAAGTAGAGAGATTTCAGGAGAATATAATGAAATTGAATTCACTAAAAATCTGTCTACATAGAATTACACTCACTGTGACCATTTTGGATCATTTCCAGTTAGGCTGTTCCATGACAATACCCATTGTTTTTTTAAATTAGGACTCTTGACATTAATTTTTATCAAGTGAATTTATGCTCTCACACTCAGAAATTTGAAAAAGTCTTTGATACAATTTTTTTTTTGTAGGCTTGAGAAAGGCACATTTTTATCCCTGGGAATTGAAGGCTTGTATCTCCTAACTTAAATGGCAAGTTGAGTCTTCTTAGTGCCCAACTTGTTATTTTGGAGCATAAGGGCCAGCCACAAGTGAGAGATATTAGCCAGTGAGAAAAATGCAACTGATTGTATTCCTTGTTATACTAGTTCCCTGTTAAATGCACCCAGTAGTGTAACTGGGACAACAATGGTCATTTTGAGAGACATTTTATTCTACTAGAACGGAAGATGATAATGGTGATGGTGATGATGATGGTGGTGGTAATGATGCGAAAACAAATCAGCCAAAGCTACCGCTGATAAAATCCTTACTAAAACCAAGAACAGTTTCTTATCTAATCCTATAAAAGTGTGTATTAAATACTGCTATTATCTCTGTTTTTCAAAGGACATTAATGACTACAGAATATATACTTACCTTGACACAGCATCGCAGCCAAAATATTGTGAGTGCTGGTGGAGAGGGACTCAGATCTAGGTTTTAGTTGGCCTTGAATTCTGTGGGATTAATCATAAGCTGTGAGAAGCCTTTTAAAGTATGTTTTTATTGCTAGAAAAAGCATTAGTTACCCCAGCCTCCGTCTCCTCTCCATTTTCCAGTCAATATAATTGTCCAGAGGACGCACAGGGTGATTTTGCAGTTGTAGAGATAACAGATGGTAAAAATGCTTGTGAAAAGATGGGACAATATGTTTTGAAGTAAATGGATCTCATGGATCCTCAGCCATTTTATCTGTTGTTTTAATAACGAGAATTATAGAGGTTAGAGGCTCAGAAAAGGGGACAGGCTTCTCTGATCAGGAAAGATGGAATGACGCATCATCCCTTCACCAGTGGCCTACAGGCTAGAGGTGGGGAAAGGGCTGTAAGCAGTGGCATTGTGTGGAGCTGCTCCCTAGAGGTCGAGGCCAAGGGACTCTGGTGGGAAAGTTGCCATGGGCACTCTGTGTTCAAGGGAGTGCTTCCTACTCCCTTCTCCGTGCCTGGCACTACAACAAAGCATATTGTTGAGTGTAACGTGAGAAGTATAACTTTTGGCAAAGACGGGACTTTTATGATGGGGATAGAACCTTACTTTCCATTATTCATAATAATTCTGGACTTGGCTACTGGCGAAGTGTAGGGGTGACCAGCCCTTCTACACCTGTGGGTATTTTTCATCAGGTGGGATGAGAGACTGAGAAAAGAAATAAGACACAGAGACAAAGTGTAGAGAAACAACAGTGGGCCCAGGGTGCCAGCGCTCAGCATACGGAGGACCTGCACCGGCCCTGGTCTCTGAGTTCCCTCAGTATTTATTAATTACTATTTTCACTTTCTCAGCTAGGGGAATGCGGCAGGAGAGCAGGGTGATAGTGGGGAGAAGGTCACCAAGAAAACATGTGAGCAAAGGAATCTGTGTCACAAATAAGTTCAAGGGGAGGTACTATGCCTGGATGTGCACGTAGGCCAGATTTATGCTTCTCTCCACCCAAACATCTCAGTGGAGTAAAGAATAACAAAGCAGCATTGCTGCCAACATGTCTCGCCTCCCACCACAGGGCGGTTTTTCTCCTATCTCAGAATTGAACAAATGTACAATCGGGTTTTATACTGAGACATTCAGTTCCCAGGGGCAGGCAGGAGAAAGAGGCCTTCCTCTTATCTCAACTGCAAGAGGCCTTCCTCTTTTACTAATCCTCCTCAGCACAGACCGTTCACAGGTGTCGGGCTTGGGGACAGTCAGGTCTTTCCCATCCCACAAGGCCAAATTTCAGACTATCACATGGGGAGAAACCTTGGACGATACCCGGCTTTCCAGGACAGAGGTCCCTGCGGCTTTCTGCAGTGCATTGTGCCCTGGTTTATCGAGACTGGAGAATGGCGATGACTTTTAGCAAGCATACTGCGTGTAAATATTTTGTTGACAAGGCACATCCTGCATAGCCCTAGATCCCTTAAACCTTGATTCCATACAACACATGTTTTTGTGAGCTCAAGGTTGGGGCAAAGTTACAGATTAACAGCATCTCAGGGCAAAGCAATTGTTCAGGGTACAGGTCAATATGGAGTTTCTTATGTCTTCCCTTTCTACGAAGACACAGTAACAGTCTGATCTCTCTTTTCCCTACATTGAAGGCTTGTCTTCTGTGTATACACTTAGCCTGTGAAAAAATGGCTCAGGAAAAGGTGGGCTATACCTCTTTTGCTGTAGCTTGGTAGAGCAATCTGAGGGAGATACCTGAGAAGCAACTGCCAGTGTTTCTGGTAAGCCATCAGTCTTGGTTGAGTTGACCACACAGTCTTTCATATCTGTAGTGAGCCGTGTTCACCAGCAGAGAATTAGGGAAGTGAAGTGCTGTTGCTGATATGTTCTTCTAACATATGGACCCAGTAACTTTTTTCTTCCATGCTCCAATGGTTCAAATACCTGTGCAAGGTCATACAGGAAACACACACTGGCATTGGCAGCATTCTGGGCATGGGAAATTTGGGGTCTAGGGAAGAAACTGGTGATGGCCTTCTGTCAGGATTCTGTGCTCAGACACTAATGTGCTGAACTACATGGTTTCCACTGTGAAGAGGAATGGCATGTCAGGCGTCATGAGGACCCCTGATTCAGTGAATAGGAACGCAGTTCAAGTTTATTCAAGCATTTCTCTGTTAGCTTCTTGCACTCTTCCATTGATCATACTCTGCACATGGGTGGGAACAGAAAACTCCTGTCGTTCCTGTCAATGACCAGTGCATGAAGCTGGTGAAATTTGGATCCTTATAGGCATCTGTAGAAGAGCCTGAGTGTTCAGGAAGCTCCCACATCAGGTATTCAGGCTAACAGCTTAATCTCTCCTATTCCTCATGCTGAAAAGGGCACCTACCTGAAGGCCCTAGGTGTCACTTTCCCTATTTATAAGCTGTTGCCATTTGGTGATCTGACCCATCTGCCATTTGGTCCTCTCAGAGGGGAAATTACAAGGTCAAAGTGACCTTGCCTGTGCTTTCAAGGAGAGAGTGTTACAGACACAACCGTGAGGGATTTATACATCTTGTGTAGTACTCCAGCTACTGAAGCTGTTATAGGATAAGGGGGAGCCACAATTTGAGGAAGAGAAGGCACTCTGCTTTCCCTATTTCAGGCTACGTAAGAGTACAAGCAGGAATATGAGGAATCTCCAGAATATGACAGAGGAGAACAATGCACATTGATAGATGTCCTATGAGCATATATGACCCATTGCAAAGTTGAGATATCGATGAAAGGGACAGGTTATTATTTTCCATATCCTCAGTGAATGGTGGGCTTGTCTGTTGATACAAGTTTTGATGTGTCAACCTTCTTCTGTTTACTGTTACAGATTGCTAATGTTTTATATGGTCACATAGTTCAATAATGTGATGGACTTCTGCAAAATTACTGCTATCACTTTTGCTGATGCTGTTGTATCCTCACCAATGCCATACACTGTAGCACTCATCTTGGTCATAATCCAGGGTGTTCTCCTATAGGTTTATTGCAAGTTGTGAGCACTACCTGTGATATGCATTTCCTGCTATCTTACTCAAGAGGGCTGAGCTGAGATGCTGGTTTCAACTGCTTAAGTTATTTTCTCTTTACCTAGTGCTCATGCAAGCCAAACATTTTTGCTGCCAATCCTTTTCCACAATTAGAGAAGAAGAGGGCACAGAGGTTTCTCTACTTCAGGCTACCTAACAGGTCAAGCAGGAATGTCAAGAATCTGCTGCATATGAGGAAAATAGACAGTTCAAAGGACTAGGGACTTTGATATGAAAGTTGCAGTGCGCATCAGGGTTCAGGGAAGTTCTCCCATTCCCTTTTTCCCTTCCCTCACAGTACATTTGGAATACCATGACTGGAGGGCACAGGACAGCACTGCACATCCACAGATGTCATATGAGCATACATGGCCCACTGGCAGACGTCAGACGTGAATGGGGACAGGTTGTTATTTTCCATTTTCCCAGTGAGTGATGGGCTTGTCTGTTGATGAAGGCGTTGGTGCCTCAGTCGTCTTCTGTGTATTGCTGTAGGCCTGTAAAAAATGGCCACAGAGGTAGGTGACCCTTTACCCAATTATATTGTTACATAGTACTATAACGTGGAGAACTTCTGCAAAGTTACTGCTGTTGCTTTTGCTGATGCTGTTGTATCCACACGAATGCAGTGCACTGTATGCCCTCATCTTGGTGATAATCCAGGGTGTTCTCCAGTAGCTTTTTTGCAAGTCTTGAATGCTGCCTGTGATACACATTTCCCACTATCATTCTCAGGAGGGCTGAGCTGAGATACTGGCCTCGACTGCTTAAGTTATTTTCTCTTTACCTAGTTCTCATGCAGGCCAAACATTTTTGCTGTCAATCCTTTTCCACAATTTGAGCAGGGGAGGGCACAGGAGTTTCCCTACTTCAGGCTACCTAACAGGTCAAGCAGGAATGTCAAGAATCTCCTGCATATGAGGAAAATACAGTTCAGAGGACTAGGGACTTTGATGTGAAAGTTGCAGTGGGCATTAGGGTTCAGTGAAGTGCCTCCTGTCCCTTTTCCTCTTCCCTGACAGTACCTTTGGAGCAACATGACTGGAGGACACAGGACAACAGTGCATATTGACTAATGTGACATGAGCGTACATGGCCCACTGGCAAACATCAGAAATGGATGATGGGGACAGGTTCTTATTTTCCCTTTTTCTGGTGACTGGTGGGCTTGTCTGTTGGTGAAGGCGTTGTGCCTCAGCCTTCTTCTGTTTATTACTTTAGGCCTTTGAAAAATGGCCACAGACGTAGGAGGCCATTCACCCTATTATATTGTAATATAATACTCTAATGTGGAGGACTTCTGCAAAGTTACTGCTGTTGCTTTTGCTGATGCTCTTGTATCCTCATCGATGCGATGCACTGTGTGCCTTCATCTTGGTGATAATCCAGGGTGTCTTCCTATAGCTTCATTGCAATCTTGAGCACTGCCTGTGATACGCATTTCCCTTTATCTTTCTCAGGAGGGCTGAGCTGAGATGTTGGTTTCGACTGCTTAAGTTATTTTCTCTTTACCTAGTTCTCATGGAGGCCAAACATTTTTGCTGCCAGTCCTTTTCCACAATGTAGGAAGAGAAGGGCACAGGGGTCCCCCTAGTTCAGGCTACCTAACAGATCAAGCAGGAATGTCAAGAATCTCCTGCATATGAGGAAGGTACAGACAGTTCAGAAGACAAGGGTATTTGATGGGAAAGTTGCAGTGGGCATTAGGGTTCAGGGAAGTGCCTCCTGTCCTGTATCCCCTGACCTCACAGTACTTTTGGAGCAGCATGGCTAGAGGACATAGGACAACAATGCGCATCAACTGATGTCATATGAGCATACGTGGTCTACTGGCAAACATCACACAAGGATGATAGGGACAGGTTCTTATTTTTCGTTTCCCACTGAGTGGTGGGGTTGTCTGTTGGTGAAGGTGTTGCTGTCTCAGCCTTCTTCTGTGTATTGCTTTAAGCCTGTGAAAAATGGCCACTGAGGTAGGTGACCCTTCACCCACTTATATTGTTACACAGTACTATAATGTGGATGACTCCTGCAATGTTACTGCTCTTGCTTTTGCTGATGCTGTTGTATCCACACTGATGCAATGCACTGTGTGCCTTCATCTTGGTGATAATCCAGGGTGTTCTCCTATAGCTTTTTTGCAAGTCTTGAGCACTGCCTGTGATACACACTTCCCTCTATCGTTCTCAGGAGGCCTGAGCTGAGATGCCAATTAAACTGCTTAAGTTATTTTCTCTTTACCTAATTCTCATGGAGGCCAAATATTTTTGCTGCCAATCCTTTTCCACAATTTGAGAAGAGGAGGGCACAGGGGTTTCCCTAGTTCAGGCTACCTAACAGGTCAAGCAGGAATGACTAGGGCACCTTCAGGCTACCTAACAGGTCAAGCAGGAATGACTAGGGCACCGGGGTTTCCCTAGTTCAGGCTACCTAACAGGTCAAGCAGGAATGACTAGGGCACCTTCAGGCTACCTAACAGGTCAAGCAGGAATGACTAGGGCACCTTCAGGCTACCTAACAGGTCAAGCAGGAATGACTAGGGCACCTTCAGGCTACCTAACAGGTCAAGCAGGAATGACTAGGGTACCTTCAGGCTACCTAACAGGTCAAGCAGGAATGACTAGGGCACCTTCAGGCTACCTAACAGGTCAAGCAGGAATGACTAGGGCACTGGGGTTTCCCTAGTTCAGGCTACCTAACAGGTCAAGCAGGAATGTCAAGAATCTCCTGCATGCGAGGAAAATACAGACAGTTCAGAGCACTAGGGACTTTGATATGAAAGTTGCAGTGGGCATCAGGGTTCAGGAAAGTGCCTCCACTCCCTTTTTCCCTTCCCTCACAGTACCTTTGGAGCAGCATGGCAGGAGGACACGGGACAACAACGCACATCGACCTATGTGATATGTGCATACATGGCCCACTGGCAAAGGTCACACGTGGATGATAGGGACACGTTGTGATTTTCCATTTTCCCAGTGAGTGGTGTGCTTCTATGCTGGTGAAGGTGTTGCTGCCTCAGCCTTCTTCTGTGTATTGCTTTAGGCCTATGAAAAATGGCCACTGAGGTAGGTGACCCTTCACCCACTTATATTGTTACACAGTACTATAATGTGGATGACTCCTGCAATGTTACTGCTCTTGCTTTTGCTGATGCTGTTGTATCCACACTGATGCAATGCACTGTGTGCCTTCATCTTGGTGATAATCCAGGGTGTTCTCCTATAGCTTTTTTGCAAGTCTTGAGCACTGCCTGTGATACACACTTCCCTCTATCGTTCTCAGGAGGCCTGAGCTGAGATGCCAATTAAACTGCTTAAGTTATTTTCTCTTTACCTAATTCTCATGGAGGCCAAATATTTTTGCTGCCAATCCTTTTCCACAATTTGAGAAGAGGAGGGCACAGGGGTTTCCCTAGTTCAGGCTACCTAACAGGTCAAGCAGGAATGACTAGGGCACCTTCAGGCTACCTAACAGGTCAAGCAGGAATGACTAGGGCACTGGGGTTTCCCTAGTTCAGGCTACCTAACAGGTCAAGCAGGAATGTCAAGAATCTCCTGCATGCGAGGAAAATACAGACAGTTCAGAGGACTAGGGACTTTGATATGAAAGTTGCAGTGGGCATCAGGGTTCAGGAAAGTGCCTCCACTCCCTTTTTCCCTTCCCTCACAGTACCTTTGGAGCAGCATGGCAGGAGGACACGGGACAACAACGCACATCAACCTATGTGATATGTGCATACATGGCCCACTGGCAAAGGTCACACGTGGATGATAAGGACACGTTGTGATTTTCCATTTTCCCAGTGAGTGGTGTGCTTCTCTGCTGGTGAAGGCATTGCTGTCTCAGCCTTATTCTGTGTATTGCTTTAGGCCTATGAAAAATGGCCACTGAGGTAGGTGACCCTTCATGCTCTTACACCGTAACATAATACAATAATGTGGAGAACTTCTGCAAAGTTACTACTGTTGCTTTTGCTGATACTGTTGTATCCACACTGATGCGATGCATTGTATGTTCATCTTGGTGATAATTCAGGGTGTTCTTCTATAGCTTGATTGCAAGTCTTGAGCACTGCCTGTGATATGCATTTCCCTCTATCTTTCTCAGGAGACCTGGGTTTAGATGCTGGTTTCAATTGCTTAAGTTATTTTCTCTTTTCCTAGTTCTCATGCAGGCCAAACACTCTTGCTGCCAATCCTTTTTCACAATTTGAAAAGAGAAGGGCAAGGGGGTTGGATGGGGTTCCCTACTTCAGACTATCTAACAGGTCAAGCAGGAATGCCAAGAATCTCCTGCATATGAGGTAAATACAGACAGTTCAGAGGACTAGGGACTTTGATATGAAAGTTGCAGTGGGCATTAGGGTTCAGGGAAGTGCCTCCATTCCCTTTTTCCCTTCCCTCACAGTACCTTTGGAGCAGCATGGCAGGAGGACACAGGACAACAGTACACATCGACAGATGTGATAAGAGCATACATGGCCCAGTGGCAAACGTCACACATGGATGATGGGGTCACGTTCTTTTTTTCCATTTTCCCAGTGAGTGGTGAGCTTGTCTGTTAGTGAAGGCTTTGCTGCCTCAGCCTTCTTCTATGTATTGCCTTAGGCCTGTGAAAAATGGCCACAGAGGTAGGTGGCCCTTCACCCACTTATATTTTTACATGGTTCTGTAATGTGGAGGACTCCTGCAAAGTTATTGCTGTTGCTTTTGCTGATACTGTTGTGTCCTCACCGATGCGATGCATTGTATGCCCTCATCTTTGTCATAATTCAGGCTGTGCTCCTATAGCTTTTTTGCAAGTCTTGAGCACTGCCTGTGATACACATTTCCCTCTGTCTTTCTCAGGAGGGCTGAACTGAGATCCTGGTTTCAATTGCTTAAGTTATTTTCTCTTTACCTAGTTTTCACACAGGCCATACATTTTTGCTGCCAATCCTTTTCCACAATTTGAGAAAAGGAGTGGGTTTCCCTACTTCAGTCTACCTAACGTTAAGTTCAAGCAGGAATGTCAAGAATCTCCTGCATATGAGCAAAATACAGACAGTTCAGAGGACAAGGGTCTTTGATGTGAATGTTGCAATGGGCATTAGGGTTCAGAGAAGTGCCTCCTGTCCTTTTTCCCCTTTCTCACAGTACCTTTGGAGCAGCCTACCTGGAGGACACAGGACAACCATGCACATCAACCGATGTGATATATGCATATATGGCCCACTGGCAAACGTCACACATGGATGATGGGGACAGGTTGTTATTTTCCATTTTCCCAGTGAGTGATGGCCTTGTCTGTTGGTGAAGGCGTTGCTGCCTCAGCCTTCTTCTATGTATTGCTTTAAACCTGTGAAAAATGGCCACAGAGGTAGGTGGCCCTTCTCCCTCTTATATTGTTCCATAGTGCTATAATGTGGAGGACTTCTGCAAAGTTACTGCTGTTACTTTTGCTGATGCTGTTGTATCCTCATCGATACGCTGTATACCCTCATCTTGTTCATAAGCCAGGGTGTTCTCTTGTAGTTTTATTGGCATTCTGGACACTGCCTGTGATGTGCATTTCCTTCTGTGTTTCTCAGGACGGCTGAGCTGAGGTTCTGGTTTCAACTGCTTAAGTTTCCTCTTTACCTTGTTCTCATGCCTGCCAATTATTTTGGCTGCCTGTCCCCTTTTATTTGTGATTGTAAAATTGGCAAGAGGCTTACTTAGCTTTCAAAAAGATTTGCATGGTTTGCAAAGAGGCAGAGGAAGAACTTACAAGTTTTCCAAAGTAAATATTCTAAAAAAAGGGAATTGTTAGGTCTATTCTTTTTTCACCAGGGAGATTCAAACTTTTATTTTTTATTTTACTTTGTATTTGCCCTTTCAACGTGCTGCCATGTGATACCTGTTCCCCCAATCTGCCCTTCACAATGATGACTTCTGTGTCCTTGCCCAAGCCAGGCATGTGCAGAAAAGTTCCTCATGTGGGACTTGTGCAAACAGGACCTCAAGGACAAATAATAAGTGTGAGTACTTGCCTATTTTCTAGCCTGTGCGTGCTTTTACCCATACCGGTGTTTTTATGAAGCGTTCTTTATAACCAGTTGGAGTGGGGAATCAAACCATTAGCCTTGTTTACAGATGGCTTAAATTGACATGTTGATGTCAATGGTCTGTTGACAAGTGGGGCTGTACAATTTCTCTCATATCCTCCTGTCGTTGAGTCTTAAATGAGCAGAGGTTTGGTTTCCTGCAGTAGACAGACATTTACTTTGTATGACTTGTTATATCCATCACCTGATAGAATTTTTGGCTGTAGATGAGGACTCAGTTCCTGTCTTCTGGATATTTAGTGCACGGGCCTCTCCAAAAGGTTTGAAAGAATGTGCAGAATGTGCGCACTCCTATACAGTTTGAATCAGTTCTTCCAGATCCCTCTGGATTTGAGTTTGTCCTCTCAGCCCATTGTGCTTACTCCAGTCACGCAGTATATGGATTGCTGACAGCTGCCAGGGTGGCCACCTAACAGTTTAGATTTATGTTGGTCTTCTGAGCTTTCTTTGTACCTTTGTATTCACATGCAAACCTAGTGTGCTGCTGCTTAATTTGAGAAAAGAATAGCAGTGGGCTGTGGTCAGTGAATCCTAGTGGGATTCATGGATTTTCCCGGTCTTCCCATCAGTCAGACACGATGCCTTACAGAATGATAGAAGGGTCTATTGTAGACTCCACTCCAGTGTCAGCTTGGACTACTAGTTTTGCAGTCAACATGCTGATCTACAGGATGTGGAATATAATTTAAGCCAGAAACCAAGCACCTGTGCTTCTCTAAAGTCCAGAAGTGATGGATCTGGGCACCTGGGGTTAGAGGTAAACATAAAACTTTTTATGATTACAGATGAGTGCTCCTCACCAATGTTTTTAGATTTTAGAACTCAAGGAAAGGAGAATGCTTCTCCATGGGAAATAGATAATGCCATTACTGCTTCCATATTTTTTCTTTTTTTGCCTTGATACTTCAATTTACATGTAGTATTTTACATTGGCAGTGTTTAAGGTTAACGTTTAGTCCATAGGTGTTTGAATTTCATCAAATCACAACAGTTCTACAGAAGCCATGCACTTCATCTGGAGGACTTTGTCTCAAGGAATGGCCCCAAGACACCAGCTATTTATACATACGAACAGGAATTGACTTTGGGATTGACTTGGACTTTGGGTTGTTTTCATTGTTTATGATATGTGCTTTAGTACTTACTCAAGAGATGGTTTTAAATATTTTACATATGGGGACAGGTCAAAACATGTATGTACTGTATCTATGTCCTGGGGTGGAAGGCAGCAGTCTCAGGCTGAGGTCTTCCTGAGCCTTGGTCTGTCCAGGAAACAGCTTTTCTCTGAGACCTTTCACCACACCCTTCTGTTTCCTATGTGACTGGCCATAGCTATTTGGTTTGGTACCTTTCACCTCACACTAGTTGAGCTAGTCATGCTGTTGGGGTCTAGAGTCTGAAATTAGACTTAAGAACGAGTGACAGCCTGTTAAGTCTCGTTAATACCCTTTCACTACAGATAATGTAATTTAGAAGTCCTGCTGTTGAGGTCACCTGAATCGGCCTCATTTCTGTGTTTTCAAAGTGTGTTTCTCACTTTGGTTTCTTGCATTTTGTAAAATATTTGTGTTCTTCCAATAAAATGTTTGAGAAGATTCCACTTGTAGATTTTTATTATTCACAATAAAAATCTGTATAGCTTTTATATATATATAAAAGTATATATAAAAGTATAGCTCTGCCGTATGCATCATTGCATGAACCAGGGAAGAGCTCTGAGCTCTATAATCTGATACATTGAGGACGGGGGCTTCATGGCAAGAGTGTGAGGTCTTCTGACCACGATGGAAGTTCTCGTCTTTGTCTAGGGCAGTATTCTCCTAAAGATAGTAGGTGATCTAATACCTCCTTAGGAGAACTGATCCTTTTGACCACTTCATGAAGGACACAAACACATATCTGGAGATTGTGAGGGTGTTGGAGGAATATCCTGATACTGCCAAAGGTGAGGCAGAAGGCAAGATGACCAGTATGTCAGCAGAAGATTGTTGCAAAAAGTCATGAGGACCACAGCTGGAAACAGAAAACACACAGTTAATTCCTGGTAAACCCTGCGTTAGAATCTTGGTCTTTTGTGTCTGAGGCATCTTTCATTACACTACACCACTAGGTCTTATAAAGGCTTTGTAATAGCAGAATTAAGTTAGTTAAATGGGTAGAAGATTTTTGGCATTGTTTGTTCTTTAAACATATCAGGCTGGGCACGGTGGCTCACGCCTGTAATACCAGCACTTTGGGAGGCCGAGGTGGGTGAATCACCTGAGGTCAGGAGTTAGAGACCAGCCTGGCCAACATAGTGAAACCCCATCTCTACTAAAAATACAAAAATTAGCCGGGCATGTGGCGGGCGCCTGTAATCCCAGCTACTCGGGAGGCTGAGGCAGAAGAATTGCTTGGACTCAGGAGGCAGAGGTTGCAGTGAGCAAAGGGAGCGCCACTGCACTCTAGCCTGAGTGACAGAGCAAGACTCCGTCTCAAAAAATAAAAAATAAAAAATAAATAAATATATCAGTACAGTTTCTATTGCTTGTATAAAATTTCCAATTAACTAAAATTATCTACCCTCTGTGCAGCTTACCTTGATTTAAACACTTCATCAAATAACCTTATCATTGTGATCATTAAAATCTGTACCCTTTCCTATCAAAACAAGAAGAAAAGAAACTGCCCCCACAGAAAAGGAGAACAAGACCATTGCAAACAGTCTGTCCTGCCTATAGATGTGCCACACTGGGTGGTTGGGCACAGCTGTCTTCCTGGGATTTCATAGTGATCTTAAACAGCAGGTTTCAGAAACTCTGTTCTTTCCATTGAGTGTAGAGGGGCCCAGGCTGCAGTGTCTCACCTCCTGTTTGGGGGTTTTACTAGTATGCTAAGCTCAAATCACTTCTTCTCCAATTGCAGCTGAAACTTGATTGATATGCCTTTTATTACCCTCTCTTGTGTTACAGAATGAGTCTCACATTAGGCTGTGAACCACTCCCAGCCAGCTACTCTTGCCCATGCCTCCAAATGTGTGCCGCTCTTCCCAGAGATTCTCTGAAATGTTGTTCTGGGCACTGGGGAGTTTGAAAGGGACTGAAGGATTAGGGGACAGATGGCCAGTGACATTCAAGTTATTACCATCAACCAAATTCCCTTCTAGCACTGTCTCAGCCTATGATGGCCACAGTCTTTGAAAGCTTGTGATGGGCATCCAGTAATGAATCTTGCTCTGTTACCCAGGCTGGAGTGCAGTGGTGCAATAATAGCTCACTGCAGCCTCCAACTCCCGGGGTCAAGTGATTCTCTTGCCTCAGCCTCTCGGTTAGCTGGAACTACAAGCATGCACTACCACGCCCAGCTGATTTTTTTCTTTTTTGTAGAGATGGGGGTCTTGCTCTATTGCCCAGGCTGGACTCAAACCCCTGGCTTCAAGCAATCCTCCTGCCTCAGCCTCCCAAAGTGCTGAGATTACAGGTGCGAGCCACTGCCACTCAGCCCAGATAAGGCTTTCAATGCCCAGTTGCACTGGCCCCCAGACAGTGGAGGGTCATTGGCCAAGTACATGTCGTCTTCCCTCATTTTTTCATTGTACGAGGGAATGTGTGAGTTAAGATGAACATTGTCTCAGAAAGCCAGGGACACACTGAGACAGGAATTGCTGCTGCTGGAGGTTCCCTGAGCTATCACTATCCATAGACTAGGGAGTATCTAAGGCTGGTTCACCCTGCCATCCTAACTCCCCAGAGAAACTGTAAGTGATGATGAGGAGCCTAGATGGAGAGGGGCAATGTCTGGGAAAAGAGACATTATATGAGGGCAAGATGTGGTAAATGCCCTTAAGGAAGAAATAGAACCTACAGGGTAAGAAACTAAAGAAAAATTTGGTGAGATTCGGGGGATGCTTCTCACATGTATTTTTAACTGAGGATTAGTAATATAATAAAATAAATACATAAATAAACAGCAAAATCACAAATCATCAAGTTTCCTAGTGTAATAGCTACAACAGCCCAGTTACTATCTCTGACAGACCCTGTGCTGAGCATTAGTCTGTATCATCTTTCTTCATGCTTATAGTAATCTGGGCAGCCAGGCCCTATATGTATGTCTCAGAGAAGTCAAGTCACTTGCTCAAGGACATACTGTTAGTAAGCTGCAGAGGCAGGATTAAAGCCCAGGCATGTGTGATTCTATACCTTGTTTGATCTTAATCCTACAGCACCCTAGAATGGACAAGGGCTGGTAAACAGATATTCATTAAAGAAAATTTGAAAACAGATTTTTAGAAAAAAATAGCATTATTCTTACCATATAAACTGAAAGTTTATATCTTGTTTTATTGTCATCGAGTCCTTCTTTTCCATATATATTTATAACTCTATTGTGTTTGCAATTGATTTTCCATTGCTTTGACTTAATTTATATGCATTACCTTATTACTTCATTTTTTTGTAACCTGTGTTTTCATTTGTTTTTTAAAACAACTGTGTTCCTTTTTATTACAAAACTGTTCTCTATCTTATTGCAAAGGACTTGTCAATTCATAATGGCACAAAGGAGAGAATAACAAGTTAACTATGCAGTAATGTCACTCATCAGAGATAATTGCTTCAATTTTTTTCTTTTAGTTACAAAGACACAATGAGCAGAGGCGTAAGCAGCAGTTATTCCAGTCGGGGTTGGGTGCATCTGTGGAAAGGTGTGCCAAACGGACCCGTTTCTCCCTCAGAGAACATTTCTTCCCGTTGTGTGGCCCCTTCTGTCTCCCGGTTTCTGCATAAGACAGGTGGGCTTAGAATTGTCACTGTAGTCTGGGGTAGAGTGGATTCTAGGCAGCTGGGGGCAGCCGTAGGGCATCGTCCCCCTAAAGGCTGTGTCAGAGGGTGGAGGCAAAGAAAAATGTCTCTTTTTTGTCCCCATTTGGGCCCTATTTCAGGTCAGTGGGTATGATTTTGCCATTTGCTTTTAGTTTTTCACCAACGTCACAAAATTATATTACCACTCCGATTTTTTTATATTCCTAAGCATCACCGGAAATACATGGTTGTGGAGGCGAGTCCATGGGGCTGAATGTGGGCTTGGCCGTGGGCGTGGCCTGAGTGCTTGCGCGGGCTCCGCCCCCAAGGCCCGATGGTCACCAGTGCGCAAGCTCAGAACGGGGCCGGGCCGCGGCTGTGAGAACGCGGGGGCGGGACTAACTCCCTTGAGGAGGCGGGATCGGAATCAGAAAGGTGGGGCCAAGATTCCCAAGGCAGGCACGGGCGAGGGGCGGTGCGCGGGGGAGGAGCCCTGAACAGTTTGCGGTGTAAGGGGAGATGTAGCCCGCTGCCCAAAGAGAGCAAAGGAGACGTGTTCTGGAAGTTGATGCGACCTCCTGCCGCACCCCTCCCCTCACCTAACTCCTCAGCTGTAGCGTGTCCCTTTACTGACTCAGCTATGAGGTTCTGTGAACACATTTTCCTCCTTCATGCATCTCTCAGCCAGATTATTGGCTCCCTGGCCGCAGATGTGGTTACTTTGAAACATTAATAGGAAAGCCCCAAATACTAGCATACATCCAGAGCAGCACATTCAAAGAGTAATGCACCATGAACAGTTAATAGAAGGTGGGTTAAATGTTTAGAAATCTATTAATTTGCTATATTAAGACACTAAATTAAAATAATTATAGGACATCTTCAGAGATGTTGAAAATATAAAAATAAGAGGGATTTTATTATTTTACCAGAAACATTTGCTTTTAATGTTTTACCAACACTACAAAATTGAATTGCCACTCTGATCATTACATTACTTTCTTTAACGTCATAATCACATACATGCACATAATACACCATTTACTTAGGGCAGTCAATTTTAATAACACGTCGATTTCTTTCATGAATCATGTGTTTTTATGAGATACTACTGTGTGTCAACCCCCCTTGGATGCCCGAAACAGCTCAGCCCAAAGAGGATGTGGTTTGAATTTAAAATACATAATTTAATCATGGGTTTAGAGTTAGGATTTTAAGTAGGACTCTTACTAATTTTTTATATACATGCATACTACATATATATACATATAATATTGGAACATGTAAGAGAATCTTAGTTTCACTGTTATCGGTTTGCTTTTCTTAAATTATTATCTATTTTTTATTTTGTGAGATGTAGTCTCGCTCTACTGCCCAGGCTGGAGTGTAGTGGCACAATCTCTGCTCACTGCAGCCTCTGCCTCCCAGGTTCAAGCAATCCTCCTGTCTCAACTTCCCGAGTAGTTGGGATTACAGGCACATGCCACCATGCCCGGCTAATTTTTTTATTTTTAGTAGAGATGAGGTTTTGCCATGTTGACCAGGCTGGTCTCGAATTCCTGACCTCAGGTGATCCGCCTGCCTCGGCCTCCCAAAGTGTTGGGATTACAGGCATGAGGCATCATGCCCAGCCTGCTTTTTTAAATAAATAGAATGATTTGATAATCATGATGGATTTATCAAGACTGATATTTTTCATCTCCCAAATCTACACTTCCTCTGTCTTCCCCAGCTTGGTAAATGGCAACTCTTTCCTTTCCATTGCTGAAGCTAAAGGCCTTGTTGTCACCCTTGAATCCTCTGTTTCTTTCATGCCCCA